CTGTAGAGGCATATTCCTGAGGTGGCCATGGTCACAGTCTTTCCTAACACTCAACCACAACCTCCAATCCAATCCCATTGCACTCCACTTCAGCCCTGCCCTGAGTTTGGGTTAGTTAGTCCTCTCCCATGAGTTCTCTCAGAACCCTTCCCATTCAGTAGCACGGTAACTTTTACCCCGTAAGGCAACTGCTTGTGTATTCCTTTGTAGTATCTTCAAGAAAAAAACTATGAGTCTAAATCTTATTAATACTGTATCCCAGTTCCTAGATTTGTAAATTCCACTTATTCAACATTTCTATAAGACTTTGTGGGATTTCTTCATCCTACAAATCAGACATTCATTAACCAAATTACTAGCAAATTCATCAACTGATTTGATAAGCTGGTACCTTAAAAAACACCAAATATAGTTTTTATATGACAGCATTTTGGGTTTAGCGCTAAGCAGAAAGGCAGACTCTCAACACCAATTACTACAGCACTCATTAAAGCCCAAAATGTAACTTCTAAAGTCCTAGTAACAGAATTATATATATTTATTACTCTTGGAACTTATATAAACAAAAGTGGATAAAAGATTTGGAAATAAATCCACAAGTTTTTGAAATATCCACTTAACTTTACTACATTGATTTTTCAGTAAGTGTGTGCATAAATCTGTTAACTACATACATTTCATAGGTTAATTTTAGGTCATCATCAGAAAGCCTAAAAACTTCTGCCTGCTTTCTAGATGTCAAAGCTCAAAATCACATACATAAATTAACTAGGTTGCTTTTCTGGAATGAATATGCTGTCTAGGAATTCCACATATTCAGAATACATATGAGAAAGATATATTTCAATTATAAAATTGCAAAAGGAATCTTCTCAACTCATCATTTAACCAATTTCAGAGCACAAAAATACAATTTTGAGGTCCCTAAAGTTATTCTGTTTATGTATGGATTTCACAGGAGGAGGAATCTCCAGGGATCATTGATCTGACAGAAAGCAATGCTAACATCTAAGTTGTCATAACCAATCTCCTCTAATTATCAACAAGTTTTTCCCATTTCTGACCAGTCATTTGGAGCTGACCTCTGACAAGTACTTACAAGTCATCGAAATCTCATTTTATTTTATAGCCTCATATTTGTTATTGGGCTAATCTTTACCTGTTCTACATCACACAACAGCTTAAATATTTGAATGGCCCAGCAATAAATTTCCATGGTCCCCCTGGGTCAGTCAGATGTTAGCTGTTAAGTAAAGCTAAAAGGATCTATGCTTCATAAATTTCCTTCAGGGTCCACATTTGCTCTTACAGGCCAGGCTTTCAAGCCCAAACATCTTTATAGCTATGTGCAGTGATTTATTAACTCTTCCTTGTTTTTATCCAAAAAGATCAATCACATATGTATCAATAAGCTGGTGTGCTGGTGACTGCTTTTTATTGTACGTATAACCACCTGCCTTTAATACAAACTTGAGTCTAAAGCTTTTGTAAGCTCTTGCTGGATTTTAACAACCTTCACCTGTTTCTAATTTGGTATAAAACATATGGTTTAGCTCTGCTATTTAGTTCTAAGCCAGTCTTTCCTCTTTCGGACCCAACAATATAAAAGAAAACAAATCCAGAGCACAAAAACCTAAATTTGGAGGATGTTACACACGCACACCCCATCCCCCTTACTTGCCCAATTACTTCTCAAAAACACTTTTAACAAACAACAGGAATAAATTATTTTGCAGCTATGAAACTATTACATTGCATGCCAAACAATTAGATGTGTCCTACATTACTCTCGAGGGTTCTGAGAATGATGTTCAAACTGCACAAATGAGTGTTTAATCTCAGGACCAAAAAAAAAAAAAAAAAAAAAAAGGAAACAGCCCTATCTAGCTGCCTATGAGGTCAGGATTGAGAGTTTCTACCTTCACATTCAGGAATCCACATTTGCCCAGGTAAAACCAAGATTTCCTTTTCTCTTCCCTTATGCTTCTCTGAATTAGACCAAAAGTTTAAGAGGCAGAGAGAACCACCACCTAACCCAGCATGGTAAAGTGAATACTAAAATGAAGAGTGTCTGAGTGATAGGGCAGAGAGGAGTAAATCCTCGGGAAAAAAATGACTAATAGGAATGTCTAGGAAAGGCAGAGAAGTCAACACAGCCTCCCACGGCTCTCCCAGACTTCTTTCCCTCACACATTTACTTTTCCAGTCACGGTGGGACAACACTGGCCACAGCTGGCATTTAATCTCCCATCCAAATTCCTCTCATCCTTTGAAGCCCAATGCAGATACTCTATCCACTCTGCAGCCTTCCAGGAATTCCAAGTCAGGAATGATGGCGCATGCACTAGATTTCTCAGTGTTTATCCATCATTTAGAATCATGTGATCACATTAGGCTCTGGTTTCACAATCATCCATTTTTACATGTCTCTTCCCACAATGATCTAACATAACAGGCATTGAATAAATGCTCACTACGTTGTTTTAAATTGGTTTACAAAGAAAAGGCTTTTGCAAAAATGAAGCACACTTAAAAACTAGTATTTATTTTTTTATCAAAATAATAAGTGAACAGGTTTATTGGCTAATACCTTCTACCTCAATTCCTAGACCCCAGAGCCAATTATTCTCAGTACTTTACGCTGCTTTTTTTCCTTCGTATTTACCCTACACGTATCAAACTAATATCTTATATTCCTGTTTCTAGGTTCTATGGTTTAAAAAAATAACCTATTGACAACCTACTGGGGAGTATAAGGATTTATCTCTCTTATACACTGCTTCCCCATCTCTTCCCAAAACATCTATGTTTCCCTTCCTCCCATTCTCTCAGTAGGGCCAACACAACAATTTTTGCTTAAATCAATATGCAATTTTACAATCATATAACAATGTAATTATTATTTTGAGCTAAAATGTGTAATCCAGCTTTTTCTTTTAAACTTGGTTTTCCTTGGAGTTAATAACTATCTAGTCTCTTCATTTGCTAAATTTATTGATGAAGCTCTAATACATTCCTAACACCTTCAGTATAAATGCATCAGATCATCTGTCCATTTCGCTCTTTCTTGAAGTCCATCACCTTACTCTTGAGGCCAGCTGAAGAACTGACCTCCTACAACCTCCCTTCGCCATCATCCTGAGACCCCTTTGCTTCTCTGCTGTGTTGGGTCCCTTCTTTTCCTTGAATGATGTTTTCTTCTTGCTGGTTTATTCCCTTATATTAATAGAGCACATCTTCCAGGAGCTTCCTAGGAAAGGTGCATAGGTAAAAAATTTTTTAAGGATTTCATGTCTGGAAAGCCTTTCTTCTTCCCCTGTAATTGATAGTTTGACAAATACATGTCTATGGATTACATAGATTATAGAAATAATTTCCCACAGTACTTTGAAGGCTTTATTCCATTGATTTCCAGCTTTCAGCGTTGCCTTGGACAGTCACACAGCATGATGTCTATCCTTTTATCTGTATTTTTCTCCCTCCGAAAGCTTTCAGCATCTTTGCCTCCAGCATTTCAAAATACCGCCGTGCTGAGCACTCACTGGCTCTTTCTATCTGAGATTAAGTCTTCCAATCATTAGAATTTTCTTATATTATTTCTTGGATTTCTTACTTTCTGTTTAACTCTGTTCCTTTCTGCACTCTCATTTGGAGGTTGAATCAGCATATATCTGAGGGAAGCCTCTAATTCCTTACCTTTTCTAGTTCCATCTCTGCCTTTTGGCCTTTTTTTCCCTAGGTTCCTTCAGCTTTACCTTCCAGCTTTCTGTCCAATTTTTAAAATTTCATGATTTTCATTTCCAAACTTTGTCTTCTAATGAGTGCTCATTTTAAATACCATTTTGTTTTTAAATTTAGTACTTTCTCCTGTCTCTTGGAGGATAGTAAAAGTCTTTTGTTGTTGTTGTTGGTTTTTTTTTTCTTTTGATTGACCCTATATTCTTTCTTCCCTCCACACTTTTATTTTTAATTATTATTTTGGCTTCTGTATTTTATGAGAGAGTTTTCCCCAAATACCTGATGATCCTTGATTGACCATTTTTAAAAGTGAGTCACAAAAAAGCTAATTGAAAACTGCATGAATAAGACTGGCAGTTTCACTGGGGGATGTACAACTATGAGGAGTTGTATTTTCACTTGAATCAATCAATTTTCCATGTTTTATCGATTTTGCCCTTCAGCATGTAGACATTTACTTAATTCCTTTTTCTTCCTGGCACCTCTGCCCTCAGTTGTGCTGATTGTTCCTGAATCCAGGGTTAGTCTGGTTCAGCATCTTAAGAGTAAACTTCAAGTTTTCTGCTGGTGTAGGGAGAGGTAGCTACATGAGGGAGGAGTTATTCGGGTACACTGACTTCTAATACAAACTTCCTGCCATACCTGCTTCATCTTCAAGATACCTAGCCTGCAGTTCTGAGCTTTTCTGGATTTTTGCAGCATGAATCAGCTTGCTTCTTAACGTTCCTCCCTGCAGACACTTGGATTTTAGTTTTTTCAGTGAGGTCAGTTGCTACTCCTCCATCTGTTTTCCAGTTTTCACAATTTTGTTGCCATCTCTTTTCACTTGAGGTTGCTTCTCATATTCTTTTTGTTACTGTGGGTTTATGCTTTTAAAATTTCAATCCCTGCACTGTTATTTTAGTGTCATGTAGGGGAGAAAAGATAAATACCAGCCATGGCTGGTGTCGTTCTGTGGATAGAGCGTTGGCCTGAGGACTGAAAGGACCCTGGCTTCAATTCTGGTCAGGGGCACGTGCCTGGGTGGCAGGCTCAATCCCCAGTAGGGGGGGCATGCAGAAGGCAGCCGATCGATGATTCTTTCTCATCATTGATGTTTCTCTCCCTCTCTCCCCCTCTCCCTTCTTCTCTGAAATCAATTTTAAAAAAATAAGTACACTTGTTGTTACAAGTCTGAAGTTCATTAATTACGAATAAAATAGTGCCTTCGTTTGCTTTTCTCTGTGTCTGGCTCTTGTGCTGTGCTTTACATATATTATTTGTTTAAAACATTTTTTTATTTAGAGGAAGGGAGACAGAAACATTAATGATGAGAGAGAATCATTGATTGGTTGCCTCCTGCACACCCTACACTGGGGATTGAGCCTACAACCCAGCATATGCCGTGACAGGGAATTGAACCGTGACCTCCTGGTTCATTGGTTGACCCTCAACCACTGAACCACACCAGCTGGGCAATATGTATTATTTTTAAAACAATCCTATGGCAGAGACTGCGGATTGTTATCCCAATACCCATACTCTTTTATCTGTGGTTAGAGAACCCCTAAAGTTTAGTAGTTCACTCAGAAGAACACATTTCTCAGTCTCTT